TTTATGAGATGTTTCAATTAATTATAAAGAAAATGAAACAAACATTTAAAAGAAATAAAAAAATCAAACTAAGGAAAATGAAAACAATATATGTAAAAAAAAAATTAAAATTAAAAATAGTTAAAAAAAGAAAACCTTAGCAAAAGCAAAAAAGCAAGCTAATTAAGAGGCTATTTGAAATTCTTATATTTGGTTAGAACGAATAAAAAATTATCTTAATTTTTTAAAAGAAAAAACCTAGGGCATGGGATTGATATCAATGGTGTTGGAGGGGATGGACGAGAGCCTATGACTAAATCTCATGGGGGGAGGCATTCACTAGAGCTTGTGGGCGCATGCATTGGTAGGAGCTCATGGGGTTAAGGATTAATGGGAGCTGATGAGGACATGGATCAATGGGAGCTTTGAGGGGCATTTATTGACATGAGATCATGGAGGTGAATCAAGAGCGCTAAGGAGCAATGATCGGTGAGAGCTTGTGGGGGTAGGGATTGATAGGAGCTCGTGATGATGAGGATCGACTGGGGCTTCGGGGAATGTATTAATGGGAGATCGTGAGGCAGACATCATTGTCTCAAAAAAGAGTGAACGTGGGGAGGAGCATTTCATGAATGTGGAGATTTCAAATTGGATTGATTCGGGGAAGTGTCCAAATTCTTAAAAATAAATTAAAGTTTGTATTTCAAATCTTTCAATATTTTACCATGCATTTTTCTTTTCAATCGAACATGAAAATAAGGGAATGTAGAAAAAAATGAATGCAATATACTCTTAAAAATAAATTAAAGGTTATATTTCAAATCTTTCAATATTTTACCATGCATTTTTCTTTTCAATCGAACATGAAAATAAGGGAATGCAGAAAAAAATGAATGCAATATACTCTTAAGTCTCAACACATTCAACTAAATTATGCTTAATATAAAAAGAAAAGAAAAATGATTAAGAAATACAAATAGTTCAAAAAAAAAAAAAACACTTTACCTACAACACTCAACGACCCGAAGCTCACTTATAGGTAGTTGGTCCCCTAAAGCATTCAATCACCGACCAACATAACTCGCTTGCATGCGACATCCTTAACTCTTGCTCGCAGGCGGTCATTAGTGCTTGACTCCTCCCTGACATTTGACTACCCATTAAAATGCAACTATGCTTGCAGACATTTGCTCCTATCTAGAACAATAACCTTTTATCTCTAAATTGGTTTAAACTCCAAATCTAAAAACTTAAATCTTCTTTTAAACTTAGAAGTGTAATTTTTAAATAAATATTAATTTGAAGCATTCGCCTCATGCGTCTCGAGGCATATAGCCTCAAGATGTATGCTTTGAATGAAAAATGTATAAACTTTGTTAGGTCAAAAAAGCATAGGCCTCAAGGTGCTTTCTAGGCGCATCATCAGCTGACTCAAATGACCTTTTAAACCATGATTTTGAAACGTTTGTCTTTTAACCAAGTAACTTTGCTCTGGAAAATTTTTACTTGTATGCCAATATTTCCTTCATATTGTATATGTACCTTAATTCTTTTGTATATTGAATATGAGATATTTAACATATTTTTTTAATTATTCCAACATTTTTGAATGAGAATTACTTTACTATGACATTTACTAAAATAGCTTGTTTCATGCTTGGACTTTGTTCAAATTTTTTTTGTTATATTCTAAAATTATTATATTTTATTCCGACTATTGAAGTATTTAAAAAGATTTTTCTCTTTTGAAAGTTATTTTATAAATAATTTGTGCACGAGTTATATTATCGATGTAGGCATCTTCATAAAAATAACAACAGTGGCTTAATCTTGATCCTTGATGTGATACTACCATAATTGAAACTCTTTGATCACTCTATAATAACTTTTAAGACTTTTTTAAGTCAACACAAGTGTTTAAAGTGATTAGAGTCAAGTTATGATTATAATTTTTATTAATGTAAGTTCAAGTAGCTTATATTTGTTATGTATAAACCCACTACATACAAAATCCATTCGTGGGTAACTCGAGCTACATTAATAATTTCAATTTGGCATGTCAGTGGACCAGTGGTGGTTCACTATGAATAGGGCCATGCTTGTCATTTTTATGCTTTGATTGTTGGGCATTTTGTAAGCAGTCTCTCTTCCTAAACAAATCCTTAATTAGACAATTATTTTTAATTAATTTTGTATATTTTTATTTTACAAATTTATTTCAAAATTTTCTTCATCATCTATATTCCTTGTTACCCTTATCCCAACTATTTGGGGTTAAGCTTTATGAATCCCCATTTATCATTTCTATTAACACTGAGTGTTCCATGAGGTGAAATAGGTGAACTTTGTGCATTATTTTTTTGGTATAATTTCTATGCATGTTACTTGTAATCTACCCTTTATCCTTTTATTGATTTTATCCCCTATCATATTGATATATTTTGTAATCTAAATCTATGTTCCACTTCCCTCTCTCTAAAATATTTAAGTTACATCATCTCTTTACTTTAAACTTTTGTCAAAACATAAATGATTTGATAGATTTTGAATCAATCCAATATTAATCAGCTATGAAATGATCAGGCATCAATGCATCAGGACAAAAGATGAAAGAATGCCATTCAAGAAATCTTCTTACTGATCAAGAGTTTGTTTGTGTATGGATAATTCCCTTTGCAGTTGAGATCATTCTTTGTATATCTTACTATTGTTGAACTCAATGATTAGATTCCTCTTTCTGACTCTATTTTAATCTATGAAAGGTTGAGCTTTGCAACACATGTTAACATTATCATTTCTTTTATGCTTATTTAGATTATCATTAACTTCTTTTACGTCCAGCACTTAGATTTATACAATATAATCAATGTAATTTGCATTTTTAAATTATTTATCACTAATTTGTTATCGAAACGACTACTTAATAATTATTTGGATTAGTCAATCATTTATGGCATTAATCATTCTATGACTACTAACACCAATTTATTATCCTAATCATTAATTAATGGAAATGTAGGCTAATTAATTAGGTTGATTTAATGCCATTGTCATTAATTTTTACGTAATTTGAATAAATATTTTTTTAATTGATGAATGAGTTATTGGAATCAGTGGTTCTAATAATTAATTAGTAATTAATGAGTATACCTAGCATTAATAGTGCTGCTTAATTTTTAATTAATTATTCTGTGACATTAGACTAATTTACTGTCCTTTTGATTTATTAATTATTTTGTTACCTAATAATCCCTTATGAAAATTTTAAGTGATATTCCGAATTATTATTCAATCCATAATTATTGGGCCTTATTGATGTTTTATTAGACTTGATAATCTCTTATTTTTTTACTTTATCATTTAGCAGTATATTTAATTATTAATTAAATGTTATTTTTTTTTGCTTTATCCTTAATAATTTATGAACCATTACTCTTTTATATTGCCCTAATCATTCTATTAGTCCAAGTTACACTAAATGATTTCTTAAGCTTCCATTAATTTTATATTACTTTCGTGTTTTTTTTTTTTGGGGACATTTAGGCCATTTAAGGCAAACTCACACACACAACGCATACACAAAGACTCGAATCCAAGACCTTAGTTGGAAGCATAAGCTCTCAACCAACAGGCCAAGGTGAGCTGTGTATTACTTTCGTGTTATGTACGAAAACATACTCTAAGGTGACTTTTAAGCTCTCATAAATGGAATTAGCAGTCTTTAGGTAAGCGAGTTCCAAATAGTAACTTCGTTCACTTTTTATCAGACATGTTTCTATATAGTTTTGAATTGGTTAGTGCTAACCATCACTCTGTTATATAGATCTTAAATAATTTTGTGTACCTTCTTTCTTTGCTACTCAATGTCTCCCAAATTTCTATTTATTGATATCTGAGAATCTCTGCCTTTTAACTAAGATCTCTCTTTATTTATAAAATTGGTTTGGTTATAATATACCTTTCCAAAAATGGTAAAATTCTCATGAAAATTCTTTCATTGCTCTCTGTTCTCCTATTTTACTCAACTTGTATCTCTAGTTGCAAATGTTGAACTTTTGCAGAAAGAAAAAACATATAGAGGTCAATTGTCCTTTGAATTTACTTTTCCCACATAGCTAAGAATCGAGTCATTCCTATTTCATGTCAAGCATACACATCCCTATTCTGCTACTAAGCTGAAACATGATCCCACCGCAAATTATCCTTTGGATCTTCCATTTTATACTTCATCTTAGACACTATGTTGTTTTCTACGCTGTAGAGAAATGCTAGGGCATCATATAACCTGCGTAAGTTTTTATTTCAGATTACTGCATGCTTAAATTTTTATTTAAAATTTTAAATAATCAAACTACATTTAGTGCTCATATATTTGCTCCATTCCTGGATCCTTATCATTATTATCTTTTGCCAATCCTTGCATGGTAGTAAGTCTTTATTAGTTATATGTTGGATCATTGTAGACGTGCATAAAGTAGATAAAATCAACTTAGTATCCTGACTTTGTTTTGTTCGTTTGAGTAGCTTTCTCTTTTTTGTTTTTTGTTAATCCTGTGAAATTCATATCTAGATGGTTTTGATGGAAACTTAAATATGGATGAATAATTATGGTTGTCTGCACATTGGAAGTATTCCATTACTTTTGAGTATTCTGTTATCATTTGGTTTATACTCTATTATTGCTTGAGTACATTTAAAGCAAGTCATTGACTAAATAATAAATCTTGATTCATGAATTCTTAATCTATTTTTTGTATAAAATCATATTAGTTGACATAAGGAAACCTAACCCTGAGATGTTGCATAAGAATGCCTTGATCCTTCATATTCATCATGTATTTTTTTATTTATGTATGCTTCTCTATTGTGAAATAAGCTTTGAAGATGCTCCTTTTCATTTAAAGCATATGCTTGTTTTCCTCATGTTACATACTCTGCACGTACTTTTCATCCTCTTTACTCTTTTTTATATTTTCATGATTTTCAGTGACAGTTTTCTTCTTTTTCTCCTTTATTTCCAGGATTTGGCCTTCGATCTGTCCCTCTCGGCTTTGTTGGGAGACAACATATACAACTTTGGTGAATTGTTAGCTCACCCTGTTGTAAGTCTGATTTTTAAGTGGAGATTCTGGCATTTTTATATTTTCTACTTAACGTGTAATTTTTGAAGTTAATGACATGTCTTCAACTCAAGTGCTGCTTAAATATAACCACCTTTAAGGGGACTATTGGAAATACCAAAACCCTTGGGTGCTATTTGGTAGCACCCAGGATTTGGAACTTTTATTTTATCCGGTGAACGTACGCTCCTCTACGTTCAGTTGTAGGAAAAAAAAAGCGCAATACCGAGTACCGAGTACCGAGTTGTACTGAGTTTTTTCAAAAAACTCGGTATTGCGCTGTTTTGGTCTAAAACCAAACGTAGAGGAGCGTACGTTCACTGGATGTAATAAAAGTTCCAGGATTTGATTTGATTTCGTAAATCTGCTAAATTCATATTTCAGAAATCCTGAAGGGGCCTAAATCCTGAAAATTGTTTGGTAACATTCATGATAAATCCTATTAAATCTTGCATGACTGTTGGCTATAGAACGGATTTAACGAGGGGACTCTTCCTCTTGAGCCAACGAATTTCGTAAATCTGGGATTTAGCACAAAAAGGCTGAATTTTACGTCTACGGCGGCTTTCATTTGCCGTGAGATTTGGTTTTGCATTTTAGGCAGTTTGGCTGAATTTCACTCAAATCCCCGTAAATTCGGCCTAAATCCTGCTACCAAATAGCCACTTAACATGCTAACTTGTGTCAGGCTGCACATACTACTGAATTTTATTTCTATATAACGGGCACTTCTTCAAGTTGGTAAATTTTGTTTTCTTTTGCAGATCAAAAGTCTTATAGGGACCAAAGCTGAATGGATTTACCACATATTGCAAGCATTCAACAGCGGCAATTTGGATCGCTATCAAGAACTTTGTGGAGTTCATAACGCTGCATTGAATGCACAGCCAGCGCTTGTGGCCAATGAAAAGAAGCTTTTGGAGAAAATAAATATCCTCTGCTTGATGGAAATCATCTTTAGGTATAATCTATCAAACCATCTCAGAACTATTTGTAAATTGGCATGTTATAATGATAGATACTACCTGGTAATAGTACTGTTTTTGGTGCGAGTATATTTTCTCTCAAATTCATTCTGTTTTCATGTTTTTTTTACATAAGTCGACCTTCTGAAGACCGCACAATTCCATTGAGCATCATTGCTGATCGAACGAAACTTTCCATAGAAGATGTGGAGTATCTTCTCATGAAGAGTTTATCCGTAAGTTTGTACTTCGCTTTCTTTCAAATTGTGAATCTGTCATAATAACGAATCATCTTTTTTCATCAAATCTGTCTCTTTATATATATATGAAATCTATTCTTATAATATAAACCTTACAACAACAACATCAAGCCTTTGTCCCACTACGTGGGCTCGTCTATATGAATTCTTCTTCGTTTTTTAAAGGATTCATGTCATGATTATTCGACAAATTTTACGCTGGCTGCAACTCTCCACTTTTCTTATCCGGGACCTGGCAACGGCAGTATGTTTATAATATAAACCTTAAATGAAATAAATTTCATTGCATCACTTTGCTCTTCCTGCAGGTTCATCTTATTGAAGGAATAATAGATCAAGTTGAAAGTAGAGTACATGTCTCATGGGTGCAACCTAGAGTTCTTGGAATTCCACAGATCAAATCACTGCGTGATCGTCTCGATAGTTGGCTCGGCAAGGTGAGAACAGCTTTGCTGTCGGTGGAAGCCGAGACACCAGATCTGGTAGCTTCGTGAGAAATGTTTGGATGCGACAATGATGCGTTTCGATAAGCTTCTATTCTTGTAACAATCTATGGTGGTGCAGAGGGCATAAAACAGTAGGGAATGTTGATGTTAGGCTCTCCTGCTTCCAGGTTCTTTCCCTTTTGCGCAGGGCACATTTTTTTTTTCTTATCTCAAGATTTGGTTTAGCTAAAGGGAAAACCTTTTGTGTCCTTTACCAAAATTCGTCAAGAACAATGTCTAAACTAGAAATATACGGCTGCAGATGCAGAGAGAGAGCAGAATAGCTCCTGCTTTTTGTCTGGATTAATTGCTGGTTTAGTTAAGATTTCTTTCTTCATTTGTGACCGGAACTACCCTTTGTTTCAGATGTGGGCATTATTTGGCATGCAAAGTGTGTTTTGGAAGGAAACTTATTTATTCTCAGTTTTTTTTTTTTGTTTTTTGGTCAGTATAGCTTCTTTCTTTTTTTATTGCCTTTTTGAAATATACACCGAGTTCAGAATTATTCAAGCAAAGCTATTTTGGTTGAATTATTAACTTACTATTGTTTTCTTTAAGTTCATATATGTGATGCTTATAATGAAGGAGAAGTCGCCTCTTTTGTTAGGCAAATTATTATATCCGGTCACCGGATGCGGAGATAGGTCTGGATATTAATAAAATATTATTTTAAATTAAGCGCGTCAAAAGTGTAGGTAAAGCACAGTCAAAGCGTAGGTAAAGCGCACCTAAAGCGCAGTCAAATTGTAGTCAAAGTGCAGGTGATGTGGCAAGTTTTAATTGGATGTCTGGACCTATTTTTAGGTCTGGTGATCGGACCTAATAATTTGCCCTTTTGTTACATGCAGCTTAAGGTTTTGTTGGGGGCAATTTTTTTTACTATTTTTTAAAGTATATTTTTAATACAAAATTTTTTACTTCAAAAAATTTTTGTATTAAAAAACTGCTTCGAAAAAACAGTTTCGAACAAAGTCTAAGATAGCTAAAAGTTTTTAAGAAGTTGCATCAAAGATATACCCTTATCTTCATCATGATCCATTTGGTGCGGCAAAGCAACAATTTGTGACATTATTTGTTATTTAAGCGTGGTTTGGTTTGAAGTAAAAGGGATATAAAATATTTTAAATATAAGAGTTTTGAAAATATTATGTTTGGTATGAAAAAATCCCAAAGAAGAAATGTAGGAGTATATATTTCAAAATATTTGAAATTTATCATTTAGTTCAATTTGATGAATTTGAAAATCATTAGTTTTGATTGACTTTCAAATATACTTAAGCTAAAGCTTTTTGTACGATTTTCAACTACATTGTAAAGCTTATACCATTGCAGTGGCAAACTGTCACCATCGTTGACCTCAACCGTTGCCATTAATGACACATTGCCAGCCATCCTCGACGCCACCGCCACTACTTGATGCCAATAATTGTCTTCAGTTGGGAACTGCTACCTACAAACATTAGTCGTTGCAATCGCCGACTCTTACCAAAGCCTACCATTGCCATCACTTGCTCGTCACCATCTTTGTTGGGCTTCACATTGCATTCATTTTACTCTAAGCTAAATATAAAAAATTACCTCCATTTGTTTTATACTCATCAAAATAACTCCAAACAATTTTAAATCAAGTGCACTCTTTTTACATTATACTTTATTTTTCTTTGCATTGCCCTTTCATCAAACCAAAAGGCCCCTTAATGAAAAATAAAGCTAGCATTATTAGTGAGGTAGACAAATTTTTTTCAAGTTTATTTTCATGATTAGAAACTTTGGAGGGAACTAGTGACATCGTTCATTTTGGATTTTGGAACTTGTTTTGTGCACAAATTAAAATTTTATCATTATAATATTTAAAAAATAAAAAGCCAAAAAAATTATCAAATAGGTCTAGGATTTTAGTGAAGATTTAAGTATATATTTAATCTACCACCAAAAAAAAATTTATGAAGATTTAGAATCGAGGCTTTTTTGACTGAAGTCTTTCATTCCAAATATAGAGTCAGGGGTGCTTAAAAAATAGAGAGGAAGATGATTAAGGCTTCGTTTGGGACGGCTTTTTTATTGCTTTCTAAAACAGAGTTTTAGTACAAAATTAAAAAATTTTGTATTAAAACTCCGTTTTCTTTGTTTAACCAATTATGTACCATACTATGATAAATGATGGTGATTATTGTTAGTACGTGGGCTTCGAAAATTTGGTCCCGGCCTCCCCCGCTGCAATTTCGAGGGAGTTTTAACAGATTAAGTTATGGGATAAATTTTGGGAAGACATATGGGTTTGTAGATAACACATAAACTTTAAGGGTAACATCACTATAATCAATCAACATAAATAGAGTCCAAAATTAACATGACATTCAATAACAAAACACAATCAACAAATCATATTTGCACAATCCAAAATCCACAATAAGCAGAAATAATTCTTTAAACAAAGAAAAATACATATATTCTACAATAAACATAATATATGAAATACATAGTAAGATATTAAAAAAACACCAAAAAGTTCATCAAACAAATAACAACACTAATCATCCTCCGTATCCTCACTGCCTTATGATTCATGTGTCAGTTCTTGCTCTTTCTTCTTATGATTTTCATCTCTGTAGGATCGCAGCTCCGCTTGCATCTTATTTTGAATCTTTCTCATCTCCTCTATCTATCTCGACATGCAACAACTCTCTGGCTAACAATTTATTCAGCTATACTAACATCATAAAATGCTGACATATACGAACTTCCCTTATAAGCATATCCCTGCAAACCTAAGCCATAAACCCTCCCCCTTCTACCTACCTCCAACAATATTTGACCACGTCTTATACTTAAAATACTAGGTCGATCCTGAAGATGATCCCTAACTAGTAGACTGTTAACTTTCCTGAACTCGTATAAAATCATCTTGCTCTTTCTTTAGATGACATTATTTTCTCGAGTTTGGTTTAAACCGAGGTGCATTATAGGTACGACAATAAACTTCTTTCACATTATCCTTATAGTATAACATATATCCATTGATACAACAATCATTTTTTGTAGCAGTGAGACCCAACTTGGATATTAATTTCTTTGTTCGACATAAATTTGTGGGGATTAAATTGTCCGTTGAATTTATTTCCTTGAGAAGACCAATGAAGTCATTGAAATAATCATGAGGAATATTAAATTTAATTTTGATAATTAGCATCCTCACAGCAATCAATAATTTTGAATGAGTTTTGTAACCATTCCAAATTAATTTTATAGCAACATATACTAACTCAAATAATTTTTTTTTTTGTTTCTACATTTAGTGACTCTTCTACACTAGCCTTTAAATAAGGACCTACTACATAAAAAATAAGTTCTTCATATGGTCTAGTCACTTGATCTTCATCAAATGTTTTAAAAGTTGTGTATGGACCGACATGCATATCTCTGTGTAGCTCGTACTTGCCATGTGAGGTCCAAATCCAGTAGTCTGGAACAAATTCTCTATGATATAAATCAACCTTTACATCATCAGGCTTAAGGAATGCTTGATTTTGTGCTTCGAACATGGATATCTAAATATTCCACCAAACTTAAATGAAGGTAGTAGAGATGAAACTTGAATAAAAGTCTCAACTCCATGCATAAATTCATCTGTTAATCCTCTTCGACCTAATAATAATATGTTATACATCTAATATCTTTCTTCTTAGATAGTCATTTGAATGTTAAAGCAAACATTCCCTACACATAGTTGTGAAATCAATTATTAGAAAATATGCATTGTTAAATCTCATTTAAATTTAAGAAAGAAATATCATTTACTCTCCTAACCGGGTTATCGGAAGACAACCATTTTATGTGTTTATTTTAACTTAATATTATGCTTCTTTTTTAATGGCCAACATTTTACACCATAAATTATTATAGGTCTGACCGCCATCTTATAAAAGTTTACCTTAAGTTTGAGAAGGACTTTTCTATCACATAACAATCCCGATGCATTCCTCTAGTTCAACCATCCAAATAAAATTCTACTAATAATATCTACATTTATTTCACCACCATCACTCTGAACAACATACCCAAAATATAAGAGTGAGGGCGTGATTGGCGGCCGAAGTCTTGCGAATGTGGTTGGAGGCGAATGCGAGCGACATCTGGAGGAAATATAAATACGCGAACAAATGACGAGGAAGGTCCTTTTTGGCTAATTTTAGGTCAATTTTTTACCTTTATTCAGCTGTTTGAATCACAAAAAAAAAACACTTAACACCATTGGGTAAGCCACCAGTAAATGCGACGCAAAAACACAAAATTGACGACCTATATGTTGGTTATTGTACCACCAACATTTCTGATAGTTTATTATTAAAAATTGCATGGTAAACTGCAGGTTGGAACCGGTTGTCACATGGCTAGTTTAATCTGGTTCTTTGACTGCTAGAATTACCGTCGATAATTGGTGATTTTTCTGTAGTGGTTGAAAGTTCGTTATGGATGTTAGACCCTTATGAACTAGCACAAGGCTAACCAAGAGGGGGGGGGGGGGGGAATTGATATTTAAAAAAAAACTTTTCAATCAAAACACAAACTCAAACCAAGACAATAATCATCACAATAGAAACTAAATAAAAAAATTAAATGTGAAATAAATAATAAGAAAGAACATAGAGATTTATAGTGGTTCGGTCAACTTGACCTACTTCCATTCCCCGGAGGCGCCCTTCGAGTATTGCACTAAACTCAGTGACTCTCTTTTTGCTCCCATAGCAAGGCAGAGAAGCATGTAAAAACATCCTTTTCACCAACCCCTGTGAGGCAAGAACCCACTTATTTTTCTTCCTCCTAAAGCAGGCAGAGAACCACAACTCCTTTTGCTTCCTCCTAAAGCAGGCATAGAATCTCAACTCCTTTTATTTTCTCCAGAAGCAGACATAGAACCTTGATCAGTTGCTAAAGCTGAACTCTCTTGAACCTCCAAGGACCAAGGGACGACGATCAGAGAAGACAACTCAGATCCTTTATTGTAGCAACCTTTGTGAAACCCCTCATAAACTCCCCCTCACAAGATTCTCTCTCTCTCTCTCTCCCTCTCCTCTAGGCTCTCTCAGGTCAAGACAGAAGCAAAAGATACTCTCTTTGAGTAAAAAAGAGGTCTTAAATAGAAGAGCTTCAAATCAACTCTTAATTATAGCAAACTAACTTTATCGTCCAGGACGATCGGCTGATCATCCTGTACGATCAATATAAAATTAGCACAATCAATCAGGACTAAATGGAAAAGTCTGGATGATTAAAAGTGTGGGCTCCAAAAATTCCATTTTGATATGTGTGTGATCCTGGCCTCTCCGCATCATGTCTATTTTTTTTGAGTGTTTATGTGATGATGAAGATAGAGAGTTTTAATTAGATTAGGTTCTGGGGGAATTTTCAGAAGGTAGATTGGG